CTGTGACCTGTCAGGCTTTGAAGTTGGCTCCCCGTGACTTGAACTGTTTGGGCCTTTGCACTCAAGCAAAGAGGCATGAAGTTGGCTCCCTGGTCGTTTTCAATGAGAGGTCTTGCGCTGGCATGCCGCTGCTTGGAAGGACACCGACACATCGCGTCAGAGCGTTCGGCTGCGCATCTCTGACTCTGCAGGACTCGAGCGCCACACGGAGGTCTTGCCTGCTACTCTCAAGGGTTGGAACCTCGCATGGGAATCTGGCAGGCCATCGCGGCGGCCGAGCGCTTGTGCGGCGTGGATCCCGCGTCGACGTGCAGCCCCAAGAGCCAAGCCAGCAAAGTTGAAACAGTTTGAGAGAGGCCCGAAGACATTGCGACATGATGCGGCATATTGTTATATTCAGCTGAGAGGTTCCTGGCTTTGAGGGAAGTCTTCCACAGCAAACCTGAGGATGCCGCCGCCTGAAAGCTACTGTAAGTGTGCTACAATCCATCTCAGTCAGACCTATTGGGGTGAGCAGGTGTTTGTCGTCACCTTCCCGCGCTGCGGGACAACATGGATGGTAGAGATCTTAGCAGCCGACTGGTGGCACACCATGACTGCCTCAAGACTTGACTTCTTGGGCGAAGGTTCAGATTGTGGTGAGCTGCTTGTTCGGACCACTCGCACACTACGCCGCGTTCCAAGTTTGGCTGCAGAATGATACCCAGCAAGCTACCCCTGGCGGCCCTTGCTGCCATGGGCTCATGAGGGAAGCCAGGTGCTGCCAGTAAGTACAGGGTCCGAACAACTCCCCCAGACCGCATGGGTCATCTGACAGACCCTATGAATGGCGCGCCCCAAACACCGTGAATTCTGCCCTACTCTTCCCCTAAAACCTAAACCCACCATGCCTTGTGCTTTTCCCCGCAGAACGACAATCCTTCTTCCGGGCCGTGTGCCAGCGTGAGAGTACCCCAAATCCTCAACCCCACTCTGCAACATCGTCCAGCTACGCCTAAAGCTTCTTCCTCTTGACTTTTTTAGAGATAAAGCAAGCTGTAATTATGGAGGGAGCGGGGTTGAGCTTGAGAACCCCCGCTTTTGGGTAAAAGAAGATGCGCATCTCGGCCTTTGCCGGCTTGATCCGTGTCCTTCTATATTTCACTTGTTTCTCCAAATTAGCTGCACATGTGACCACGAGGACTGGTAACCCCCCCTCCACCCTAACCCAGCGCGGCTGTTTATTTTTATTGAGAAGCCGATGTACATGTGGCCCACCCCTCATGAACGCGATGCTGATAGTTGTTGATGGCTGTTTTGCTCGCAAAGCTAAGCTTGCTGGCTCCTTGGTCGTATTGCATAGCAGCTCAGACTCGAGCATCGCAGGTAGGTTTGCACGCTGTAGCCGGATCACGGTTGAGGGTTGGGGGTTTGGGCCTCACATCATCCCGACTTAGCCCATCCTTGCTTAATCTGATCACCACTCTGTAGGCAGCATACCTGTCTGCATGCATGGCGCCCCTGGCCCATGTCGCTTGTTCATGACGTGGTGACGCTACAGATTGCAGTCTTTGTCCCCGCGGGGCTGTTTTGCTTTCAACGGCTTTGCAAGAGTTCCTGGAGGCGTCTGCAGAGTGCCGATGTTTGGTATCTCGCCTTCCGGTCCGGGATGCGCTTCGCGTCCTGCGACATGGGCCGAAAGGGCATGCAGCATTTGGTGGCACGGCTCCCTTCCGAGTTGCAGCAGCTGGAGTTACGGTTCCGGTGGTGCAGCATCGGTAGTGACGGGGCCACCGTCCTGGCCCAGCGACTGCCACGACACTTGACAAGCTTGCAGCTTTGCTTCCGTGGTTGTGGCATTGGAACCCCTGGGCTACGAGCCATCGCTGAGTCCTTGCCAGCATCTTTGCAAAAGCTGCATTTGTCAATGCGCGGCTGTCCGGTTGGAGGGGAAGGTGCACGAGCCGTGGCACGCCACCTCCCATGTGAACTGTCTGAGCTCTGCTTGGACTTTAGGGATTGCCGATTGCCGGCGGCAGGGGTGCGTGCCCTTGCCCAGAATCTGCCTGAGCTATTGCGCTTGCAAGAGTTGCGGCTGCAGTTAGGCGGGTGCGACCTCCTGGCTGAAGATGCATGCGCGGTCATGTCGCTGCTGCCATCAAGCTTGCATGTGCTCCAGTTGGGATTCGAGGGATGTCCGTTGGGCGCGAACGGCGCGCAGGCTGTGGCCGAAGGTCTACCACAAGGACTCAGGTCGTTGCATTTGGATCTGGATTGGTGCAATATCCAAGCAGATGGCAGCGTGGCACTTTCGAGAAATCTCCCTGCGCAACTTGAGAGGCTACGTTTAGGCCTAGGCGGTTGCTCTATTGGACGAGATGGGGCACGTGCTTTGGCCGACGGTTTTCAACAGCTGACTTCGCTGGTATTCTTGCACGTCGACTTCGCACGTTGCCGAATCAGCTTTGTAGGTGCTAAAGCTCTACTCGAGCGGCTCCCAAGCAGCCTTACCACGATGCTTCTGGACTTTCGTGCGTGTGGCATCGATATAGAAGAGCGCCAGGACCTGCGCGATCTCATCCCCACCTTCCTAGGGTCTACATCCGTCCTGTTTTAGTGCCGGACTGTTTCACCTCAGCCGCGATCGCGCCATCTTGCGCCAAAGAAATAGAAACAAGATCGGATCACAAGCACGTGAAGTCGTCCATGCCACTCATCATGCTACTCGCAGGAGGATCATGCCATCTTCCTCGAGGGCAGCGTGCAGCTCAGGGAGCTCCCTGACTCAAGAAGATCGATTCCTCTTGTGATTGGAGCCGAGGCATTGCATCCTCTGCGAGCTATGTCGGCAACTCAAAACCTACGTTAACCACAGTTGTGAGCATGGCACATTGTATTCTATCAGCCTCCGAAGACGAAGTTCTCCGAGCAGCTACCAGACGCGTCAGGTCCGACAAATCGAGGAACTCCCACGCCCCCGCGTCTTCAAGAGCCACGTGCCTGCTGACATGCCAGGGGCCTCCTGGGGGGACTGAGCTGCCGATGTTCGAAGATTCTAAGAGGCCCAGAAGCCCAAGGTAGAGACAGCAGAGCTGAGGTATCCGGGATTGGCACATGGTAAGGACAACGTCCTGCAGAGGTACGGCAAGGCCAGGCCTTGACCAGCGGATGTGCTGAAAGAGCTGCGGACAGTTTGTGCTCCTTGCACAAGGTGGTTTATGTAGTGCGCAACCCAAAGGACCGTGTTGCTTTCAACTGCAAGTTGATGTTGTGTGTGGAGTCGAGCCTGAGCTTGCAGGATGCCATGATCTCCCTCAGGCTTGCTTTGTCAGCATGTGTTTCCGCACTCCGACGCAATGCATCGCGTCAGGCATCATCATGCCAACAACCAGTCCATCGGCTGGGATGGCAGCAGGAAGTCCCAGCTTTGTTCACTGCCAAACTGCACCTTTGGCATGTGTATTTCTGTATTGCCTAAGGCTGGGATGAATGGGTGGACCAGTGGATCCGCGGGCAGAGGCCGCTCCAGACGATCTTTATCTTATTTCATGAACTGGCAGAGTACCAAAAGCTCAAAAAGCTCAAAACTCGCGGCACCTCGAAGCTCGTCAAGTAGCGTCGTATCCTATCAGGTCCCTGGAGTACGGCGGGTCCTACTTTGACCATGTGAAGGGCTGGTTCATGACTCATCACCCAATGAAGTTTCACAGGGCTGGACGTTCTTGGAACGCACGGAAGACCCAAGCACTGAAAGGTGGAAGCTGTCCCGGCACCACCCTGATCGGGTCCGCAGGGCTCTTGAGAACTATTGCGTACTCGACAGAGTGTCGCGTTCTGTCCGTGTGACATGAAGGCACCTCACCCTCCGTTCTGAGGCATTGTATACTTCGAGGATTTGAAGGCCAGCAATTCCAATTTACATCAAGTGCTCCCTGTTACCGGATAATTTGGAGGTTCAAGTGGGATGTTTTTTGGGGTTCAATGTACGCTTTGCCTCGCAGGCCGACCTTGCCCGGGAAATCAAGGCAGTGGCCGACTTCTTGGGCCTGCCGTTGACCAACAAGGCTGTGACTGAGGCTCGGGCAGTGCTCCTTCATGTGCACGTCTATCCTGGTCGCTAGCAGGGCGAGCACATTGTTTGGGAGGCCGCAGCACGCTGCCAGTTCGATGCCATGCGACAAAGGCACGGACAGATCGCACTTAAACAGGCGAAGCCTTAAGTGCCAAACGAGACCTTGAAGCAGACAGCGCATCATGCCACTGGTCTCACTGCGGACCCTTCCACACAAAACACCATTCTGAGCAAGAACCGCCGCCCCGGTGTCCCACTGTGCATGGGCCTGCCTGCTGAGATTCGAGAAAAAACCAGATGAGTCGTTCCTGAATCGTTTCAGTCTGGCGCCTGTGGAAGAAGCCATCCTCGGTCATTTTTGTCATGCTTGTGTCGCCTTTTCAGTCCGGCTTTCATCCAAGCGCACTGGGCTTGCATGATTCGCGTTCTAGAGAAGAGGCATTCCGCACGATTCCACACTCCACATCCCGTCCTGCGCGCTCACCCGCTGCGAGCTTTTCTCCCCAAACCTCAAGAAGATGCAAGCTTCTCCAGGCACCAAGTGGCCGAGGACATTCGCAGCGCTGCGCTTGGGCTACGGCATGGAGCCACACTCCGCTTCCTGTTGTTCCTGACCCTGCCGTTGCAGCAGTTGCATGCGAGGGTCTCAACAGTACGCGCATCGGCTCAGAGCAGATGGAAACAGAGCCACCACGCTTGTCAGCAAATGCACATGTCTAGTGAATGACCATATTGCCCCAAAGGTTCATGAATGCATAAGCATCAAAAGCAGACGCTGCACACACCCTGTCCGCAAGAAGACATGGCATCCTCAGTGCTCCAGTTCCGCGTCGACTGCCGACGCACGAAGCCTGGACAAGCAGTGTACATCGTGGGCTCAGCGCCCGAACTGGGGGCATGGAAAGTGGAGGAAGGCACCAAAGGGTTGACAGACGTTTGCATAATTCGAGGAAAACACCCCACTTGCAACATCCTGCAGCTTCTAGTGCTTGTGCTAATGAGCTAGTGCTTGGGTCTTCAACTCGGATCACTGGAAGTGCACGAGATGCCGAGGTGTGCCCTGCATGACGACGGCCCAGAGCTTCCCCAAGTGGACATCGGCGGATGTGCAGCTGCAGTCTTCCAGCATCGTCGAGTTCAAAGTGGTTATTGCCGGGGAGAATGGGCAAGATGCAAAATGGGAGGGCGGCAACAACAAGAAGATCCAGCTGCAGCTGGATGAGCCAAAGATGGTCATCATCCGGTGCGAATATGGCAAGCCTGATCTGCGAGTCGAGGCTTCACGGATGGCTCAATCCCAGGCTCAGCCCCGAGCTCAGCCCCAGGCTCAGCCCCATGCTCCCGCAGCCGAGACGCCCAAGCCCAAGCCTGTGGACAGCAAACCCTCCTTCATGAAGCAAAACACATCCCGACACCTCATGTTGAACGAAGATGGCTCCACCAACATCCAGATGAGCAGGACGCCAAGTCTCATGATGTTTGATGCTGAGGAGCTCTTCAGGGAGGCCGCAGCTGAGCAGCAGCACGTTGCGGACCTGGAGCGAGCAGACCTCAACCTGAAGCAGAGACGCGTCTCTAGCCACACCCTTCTGAAGGAGATGCAGGAAATCACCGATTACGCCGATCCCTCAGGGACTGTGATGCTCCAGGCGTTCAATTGGGAGAGTCACCAGGCAGGCAAAGGAGATTGGTACTCTATAGTGGCATCGAAGATTCCCATGTTCAAAGACATGGGCATTACCGACCTCTGGCTGCCGCCCTGCTCACAGTCAGTTGCCCCCCAGGGCTATTTGCCATCACAGCTCTTCAACGTGGATGGCTCCAAGTATGGCAACAAGGCCTCCCTCCAGGGCTTGCTCTCGAAGTTGCACAAAGCCGACATGCGTGGAGTAGCAGACATCGTAATCAACCACCGATGCGGTGACAAGCAGGACTCAGAAGGGCGATGGAACGTGTTCACCAGCACAGGCATCGAACATCGTAAGAGCTTTGCAGGCGTGATGGATTGGCAAGGGTGGGCCATCACTTTAGGCGACAAGTTTTCAGATGGCACGGGTGAGCGAGGACCAGGCAAGTACGATGGGAAATTTGATGCCGCACCCGATATTGACCACGGGAACCAGAAAGTGCAGCAGAGCATCGCCATTTGGTTGCGGTGGCTCCGCCTTGAGCTGGGCTTCGATGCCTGGCGCTTCGACTTCGTCAAGGGGTATTCTGCTGAGTTCGTCGGCCTCTATTGCAAGAAATCAGAGCCTGCGTGGGCTGTGGGTGAGCTGTGGCTAGACATGGCCTATGACGACAATGGCCTGGCGCACAACCAGGATCGACACCGCCAGGACACCATCAACTGGATCAATGGGACTGGGAAGACAAGCACAGCTTTCGACTTCACGACCAAGGGCATCCTGCAGGAAGCTGTCCGAAATTGCCAGTACTGGCGGCTGAAGGATTCAAGGGGCAAGCCGCCAGGAGTCATCGGCTGGATGCCATCTCACGCTGTTACTTTTCTGGACAACCATGATACGGGCAGCACCCAAGCACACTGGCCGTTTCCAAATGACAAGATCATGATCGGATACGCCTACATCCTTACCCATCCGGGTATCCCTTGTATATTCTGGGATCATGTCTGTGACTGGGGCGACAACGTGCGCAATGACATTAAAAAGCTACTGCAGCTGCGCATTGAGTCTGGCCTGAAGGTCGATTCCGTTGTCAAAATCTTATGCGCCGAACACGACCTGTACATTGCGGAGATTGGTGCCCCAGCCGTGCTGAGAGTTGCATTGGGGCCTCGCGTCGCACCAGACTACGACCGAAGCTACTGGCAGAAAGGCGCTTCTGGGCATGGCTGGTGCGTGTGGATTAGCAAGGCAGCCAAAGCGAAGCACGAGGAGAGGAAGTCCAGCGGGATGACCCAACCAGCCCCGGCCCAACCAGCCCGGGCCCAACCAGCCCCGGCCCAACCAGCCCCGGCCCAACCAGCTCCGGCCCAACCAGCTCCTCAAAGCCCGGACCGCAGCCCAGCCAGGGACCAAGCGCCGGCTCCATCCTTTGAGCCGACACCTCGGGTGGAGCCAGAAGTGGCAGAAGAGCCCGAAGAGCAGCCAACACTCCAACGCCAGAGCAGCATTGACATCTGCTTGAAGCTTCGTTTGCCCAAGCACCTTGAGAAGCCCAACACCCGCGTGGTGGTTTGCGGAGAGGTGCCCAGCTTGGGCTCCTGGACCCCAGCCTCTGGCGCCCCAATGCAGAAGCTTGAGGATCTTTGGATCCTGGGTGAATTTCCTCAAGGTGTGGGGGCAGGTACGCAATTTAAGTATGTGATTTTGGACAAGAGTGACAAGACCCAGCAGCCAAAGTGGGAAGGGAGAGCCAACAGGCATTGGAGAGAAGCTGAGGCCCCTGTTGTCACTAACATCTGGGACAGTTCACAGAATGAACGGCCAAAGAAGGCTCCTGGCCAAGGAAAGAAGTTGAGCACCTCCGCTGCCAAGACAGAAGAGTTCATCGATCGGATTGCAGAAGAGAACCGCGAGAGATCTAGCTATCGCTTGAAGCTGGAGTTACCCCGCATTCTCATGGAGGAAGAGCAGCTGAACTCACTCACTGAGTTGGCTTGCCTGCAAGCCTACCTGACGTGGATCTCCAGCGGTCAAATCACGTGCAAGGAGGACGGAGGCCATCACCGGCCCTGTGCTGCCGCAAATTCTGCAAAAGCTGTCACCGAAGCTCTCTGGGATTTGGCTTCCAACGGAGATGCCGAGCTTTTCATCGCTCGCCGTATTTTCCCGTGCCTGCCGTCATTCTCTGACGAGTTCACATGTGCGGTGCCAATGACTCGAATCCGGGACATTGCGCACCGAAACGACATTCCTAAGGACATGAAGCTTTACATCAAGCAATCTGACTAAACGAAGAAGCCCTGCTTGTTTCTTTCCCCTACCTGTAGTTCCCCTTTTGACTTTAACTTGAATGCCGGAAGGGTTAGGAATAGCAATAGCAAGAGAGAGGACCTGCAACGGAGTTGCACCCTGTAAAGGCACGAGCTCCAGAACAAGCTCCACCGCTGTGCTGATCCGGGAGACTTGGTGAAGCTGGACCAACTGGTGGAGCGCATTGACCGCGAGGGTGGCTACTCCGAGGGCTTTGTTCGAGAGATGCATATCTTTCAGGTGGAGCTCCGGGATTTCTTCAACGCTACAGGTGCCCTGTTCCAAGTTTCTCTCCCCACATCTATTACATTCAGATGTCTCTGCAAATGTTGCCCTGCTTATCAGGACTGGACGACTCAGCCAGAAAGATTGCCCAAGAAGAGCCCGGCGTTAGGGGCCACCTGCATGCAGTAGAGCATAGCAAAGCCTAGTCTTGTGAGTCGTGTGCCGTTTGCGCTTGCCATGTTGCTCTTTGCCCCAGGCCAGGTGGACCACCTTTTGGGCCTGAAGCATTCAAACGCGGAGCCCTTTGCACAGCTGGGTGCTTTGATGGACCTTCGCAAGGCGATCATCGATAGGATCGCTGAACAGAATTGGATGAGGCTGGACATTGAGCTGGAGAAGTATGCGTTCGTCCTCCTGAGCCAAGTAGCTGGCCAGCTGGAGCACGAGGCGAAGGGCTCTCACTCCTGGTGGGACCGACTCTTGAAGTCTTTGATCTCAGCCCTGGTCCAGACGCAGCTCACCGGTATCTCACAGAAGGAATGCGCAACAGCTATTCATGAGACCGAGTGCGTATCACCAGACATCGCCAATAGCTCAAAGGCCCCTTTCATTCCTCAAAGGCTGGTGGCAACCATGGACCGTACTCTACGGATCTGCTTCAAGCTGCAGGCATCCCTTGAGCAAGCGTATTCTGGCGTGCCCGAGCTTGGGAGGGCACTCAACATCGACTCACACGCCATCTCTGTCTTCGTGGAGGCTGAGCTTCGTGCTTCTGTGCTGTTCCAAGTCTCGAAGCTTGCGCAGCTCGCTATGCAGCAGGCAAAGGCATGTGCAGGACTTCCGCTCTGGACAGCTATCTCGGCAGGGGTGTGTGTAGGCCGTTGCCTGCGTCTCAGGGCTTTGGCTGACACCTGGAACCAGACCCTTCCCAAGGAAGGTACAGTCGTGTTCTGTGAAGAGGCCAGCGGCGACGAAGAAATCCCCAACCTGATTCGAGGAGTTGTCGTTGCTCGTGACCTGCCGGTGCTCAGTCACCTCGCACTGCGGGCCCGTCAACTTGGGGTGGTATTTGCCTGCACTGCCGAGTCGCAACTCTTCCAGAAGGTCCAAGGAGCCGCTCAGCAGGGCAAAGCCGTTCGGCTCTCGGTCAACGCCTCTGGCGATGTGCATGCAGAAGGCGTTGGTGACTCGGAGCTTTCCGTCAGCGGGGCTGAGAGCAAGCCCACCGCTGTGAAGAAGCCGAAGCTTGGCGAACTCAACCTGGAGAGCAACAAGGTCTTCGAGACTGTGCCAGACTGAGTGCTGCTTTGTGCGGGTTACGGCATTTGCTTCAGCTTGTGTTTCAGCATGTCTCAGAAGGATGAGAGCTCGAGCTGAGGTCGAGATTGCCGACCAGCCCCAGTTTGCCGGCAGCAAAGCTGCCTCCTCCGGGAAGCTTGAGAAGCTCGCCGCCGAGCTGGGCTTTAAAGCCCCGAAGGGCCTTGCCATACCCTTCGGGGTCATGAAGAAAGCCGTTCAGGGCGCGGAATTCGACTCTGCTCTGCAAGCGCTGCAATCCAAGCTCAGCTCGAACTCTCCCGACGTTGAAGCAGCTGCCCTGGACATGCGCGCCGTCATAGAGAAGTTGGCTGTGCCTGCGAATGTTCTCAAGGACCACACCTTAACATTCACAGGCTCGCATAGGCTCGGTAGTTGCATTTCCTGACTTTTCCTGCAGCTTTCTTGCACCTTCTGTCGTCTTCTTTTAAGCTGCCACATCTCCGAGGAGATCGGAGCCAAACTACCAAGTGCCGAGCGGGTTGCTGTTCGGTCCTCGGCAAACAGCGAGGACCTGGAGAAGGTATCAGGGGCCGGGCTGCACGACTCCGTCCTGGGTGTGGAAGTGAAGGACCAGGCCAAGCTTCAGAGCGCCATTCTGCAGGTTTGGAGCAGCATGTTCACGCTTCGGGCAGTTCAGAGTCGACACGCAGCGGGCATGCCGCTGTATGAGGGCATCGCGATGGGCGTGCTAGTTCAACCCATGGTTTCCCTGGCTGGCAGTGTCTTTGCCTTCATCGCATTCTCAAAGGATGCAGTGGCAAGAAATGACAAAGCGGTGTACATCGAGCTGTGCATTGGTTTGGGGGAAACATTGGCGTCGGCCAATGAGCCGGGGACTCCTTACCGCTTGTCCCTAGGCTGCAGCAGAATTAGGGCGCTTAAAGGGCTTGTAAGTGGGTTATAAATACAGTTAATTGGGTTGTAAGTACCATGAACCTCGTTACATAGTTCAGGATCTTGGCTTTAAGTGGGGGAGGCTTTGTCTACCCTGAGTGGCCAAGTTGAGGATTGTGCAGAAGCAGCCACCTCATGAAGTTGAAGTTGCATCCTTGGGCAGCTTCTCATATGGTCTCCAAGACATGCCGGGCGGCTTGCAGAGAGTCCCCATTGATTATTCCCAGGAGCGACTCAGCACGGATCGGGACTACCTTGTGCAGATGGCGCGGGACATCGGCAAAGTTGCAATTGGCATCGAGAAAGGCGCCGATTGTGAAAGTAGCCTCGAAGCCCTGCGTGCTGAATACTGTTTGTTAGTATTCTCAGCCACCTGGAAGTATTGTCAGGCTATGGTGTCCCCATGGACATGGAGGGTGTAGTCCTCGAACGAGGCGGATCCAGAGAGATACACTTGGTGCAGGCACGCCCCATCGTGGGCGAGTGAAAGCGACTGCTTGCAATCCAATTCGCTGGCGAATCTCATTGCACAGCTGTTGATGTTTTTATTGCCGCCTTGCGGCCGCCCTTTAGGCGCCATCGCTTACGAAGCAAAGGCATGCAGCAACATACCGCAACACAAAATCAAGACTCCGTCAGTCAGATTAAGCTTGGTATGCATTCCTGATCGAGCCAGTTCCATGCCAAGGCCGGGTGAATCCTGATCACTTTCGTGCTGGTGAAGTTGGTATCTGACCTCAGTCTTGCATGTATGGTTTCTCGGACCGCTACCCATGCTGCCGACATCTGGTGCTCAGGGTGGCAAATGTCATCATGTTAGACTGTTATAGAAGGCACGTAGGCACTGAGGTTGCAAGGAAGCCCTGCGAGCCAACGCTGCAAGGCCGAAAAAAGTAGGTTTCACCAGAGCACCGAGCAACAAGCATCACGAAGGGTCGCCGACGCAAGACCAATCGCAACAAGTTTGTGCATCACCCATCTGTGACAACAATGGCGGAAATGCCGGCAAATACACCCGTGGCATCTCAGAAGCACTTAACTGTCAATCGAAACTTGTACTGGCCGCTTCTTCGGTTCCCCTGGCAACGAGTCCAGGTAGCCTTGATCGGTATGCGCGGCGCTGCTTGGACTGCCCTTGCAGATTCAAGGTTGTAAACGACCATAACCCAGATGAGGGTTGGGGGGGGTCAGGGGGCGACGGTCGTAGCTCTCCACCTCCTGACTGCCCGAAGGCTGGGAAGACCACTTTGGGCCGAGACGCTGCCAAGATGCTTGGGTTTGATTTCGACGACTTGGACGAGGCTCCGCGGTGAAGATGCCTTTGTGAACATCCATGTGAACGGGCAGCCTGCATTGGCTTGCAGGTTATCAGTCAGTCGGCTGGCGGAAAACTTCCACCACAAATCGTGGCCGAACAAGGCCTGGGGAGAGCAAAGAGGTCGCAGGCAGCAGTCGCAGCGGAAGCAAGAAGCAAAGTATGCAGCATTACGACATTACGCACTCGGGGCGTTTCAAGAGAATGTCATACGAGACGCGCTTGGAAGGTTGGGACGCTTTCCGGTCCTTGGAGGCGGACTGCTTTCAGAAGACGGCCGCCTCCAACAAGGCCAGGGACCCTGCAGATGGACAGGGTATGACAAGATGTAGAGCGCGTAAAGCACGTTCCGACGCTGAGGCAAAGATCATCGCCTGCGGCGGAGGCATTATAGAGACCTCCCGCGGCCTGGATTTGATTTGCAATCATCATCCAGCCACTTGATTTGAATCGAAGCCGTGCGTTGTGGCACCAAGGACCATGGGGCTATGGGGCTGTAGGGCCCAACTCATGTTAGTTTTGTCCGCAGAAGGTGATCCTGATTGACCGACCGATCGATGATATCGTGGCAACACTGGAGACACTCGGCGTGTGCCAAAACCTACCAGATGACGGCACGATGGTTTGCATTGTTGGTTCTGACTCCTGCGCAGAGCTTCATCCTAGGGGCGATCCATCTGCACAAGTTCACAGAGCATCTCTTGGGGAGCACCCGAGGGACCTGCAAAGCTTCTGCACATGCCCTCACATAGCTAGAAGCACGCAGGGTTTGCTTTTGGGTTCCTGTTGGGCGCAGCGTTCGATAGGTGGAGTCCACAGTTCAGCCAGTTTGGCGGATTGTCCTTCGAAACTGAGCAGATAGAGAATGGTGTCTGGCTTCGTGTTGGAATGTTGGGGTGGGGTCACCAATTACAAGTCAGCATTCAAAGCAGCACCTCCACACCTTGGAGGACACCTACAAGCGCCGCCTTCCAAAGTATGCTCCCGGAGCTGCAGTGCATGGATGGGAGAGGAGAGGGTAGTTGGCCTTTCTTGCTCGTTTTCCTGAGAGCGATCGAGGTTCAAGCTGCCGACTTTCGATTCCCTGTGGCTCGGGGCGAGGCAGACCTGCAGTCGCTGACATCCACATTTGCCCGCTTTGTCGGGGCCTTGGAGGAAGAGCCACCTTGAATCCCAAGCGTCACGCGGCTCGAGCCTGGTGAGGTCGCTGCTTCTTTGGGCCAGTTGGCTCCTGCGGTCGTGAGCGACTCGTTCTTCATCACACTGACGGCATCTGACTACAACCAGGCGTGCATTGCCAATGTTTTGCCTTGTCCGTCCTGTGCTGCGCATCGGCGATGGCCTTGAGAGGGCCCTCGAACGAGACATCAGTATATTCCGCTGCAGCACCTAGCTGTCCCAACGAGGTTTTTCAAAAGGGAGAGCTAGTGGCCCCGAATGATCGTCGGATAGCACCGATGCCAGCACTCACGAGTTAAGCACCGGCGGCTGCGATTGCTTCATTCAGTGTGGCTTCTGGATGCTTCTGGAATTCCCATGTTTTCCTATCATCCCGGTGCACCTCTCCTTCCCGGTGCTCCGAATCTGTACGTAGGGGCACGAGTGCTCTCCGCTCTTCAGCTTTTGTCGAGGTCTCGCCTGAGATTCTTCGCTCGGCTGCTCGAGCAGCCGACCTACTGGAGTTCCGAGTCGACCTGCTGGGCTCCTTGGAGCACGCCGACATCGTGCACCAGGCTCGACACGTGCGCGGATGTGTGCTCTCAGAGGATCTCGCAGGTAGTAGGTTCAGCGCTGGCAGGGCTACGGTATTTAGGGACCCATGGCCGCGTTATGGCCACCGTATGCCGCCAGGTAGCCACGGTGCGCCGTATCGCTCCAGGAACCCCTCTGCTGTACACTGTGCGCCACCCGTCTCTGAGATTGGGCAGCTGACACTAGCAATTGCGAGATGCTTCGTATGCGGCATCACGAACGACACTTCTCAAAAGTGTCACGCGTAACCTTGCCTACGGAGATAAGGCTCCTCCGATCACGGAGGCAAGTTTACAGGATCCGAGGATGAGCCGCCTGGTCATTGGTAGTTATGTTACATGTAGCTTCTTTCCTCGCAACTGATTCTGTACAAGCCTGACCGCTGCTGGCAGAAGAGGGGCATCATCAGCTCAGTTGATTGCGCTTGGTGCGGGCACGGGGTGCTGGCTTTGCCCAGGTATTTCGAGCTGAACAAGCTGGGGCTGCAGCTCTGTGCTGAGTTTCTGGATGTGGAGCCTTGGCAGCCAACAAACACAACAATGAGTTGCAGTTGCCAGGATCCCATGCACAAGCTTCGCAGCCAACAGCTCACCACTGAGGAATGCACCTGGAGTGCTACGAACATTGCAGCCCTCGCGGCCAGAAGAGGCCCCTCCAAGCTGGTGGGCTCCTATCACAACTTTGACAGGACACTGGAAATTCGAAATGCAGCTTGAAGGGTTCCTGGGGCGAGCCTTGGGCGAATTGAGCGTGTTCTGAGCTGGGCATTGAGCTCGGCATGCATCATCTCTGTGGGGCCATTGCCGGACAGGGGCAAATCTGCTAGAGCCCCAAGACCAAAATTCATCATCACTGCATCACATGCGCACGCAGCTCCTATGCGGGTCTCGCAGTGGATTGTGAGGTCCACGCCCCATAATGTATAATTGGCCCCCCACCCCCCCACCCCGGGACGCACTTAGCGCGGAAATTAGTGGAGGCCCTTCCATTTGCATACAGCGAAAGCAAGGAAAGGGGAGGCTGCAAAACGGTAGTGCCAGACAAGTTTGATGAATTGAGTTAACTGTGAGGTCCGAGACCTGCAGCATTCTGACACGTTTGCTGTCGGATGGCAGAGCAAAACACAGGGGGTGGCTTGCAAGGTCAACCCTGCTCCCCATTTCACAGAAATCTGAAAGAAACTGGAAACACAAGCGGAAAAGATGCAGATAATTGGTGACTATTCTCAGGCCCTTGGGGTCCTATGACCCTGCAAGTTCTGAGTCTGGGATCGGGAGACGACCCCTAAGGGGGGACATGCCAGTCAAACGCATCTCCCATGAGACAAGCCTCTACCAATCGGATCTGCAGGATGCTCGATCGAAGCGAGTTGGCCGTCGTGTGCCTTGAATGCCAGTGAAGAATCCTTGAAAGCATGTTTGCAAATGCAATGTGTGGACAAAGAAATGGCGCCGTCGCTGTGGTGCCGAGGTTCAAGAATTGCCTGCTCGACGGCGCAGCTTCCATAGCGAAAGTTGTGGTGAAGCCGAAGGTCAGGGAGGACAACTGGATTGTGCAGGAAGTGGGGTTCCGAGCTCAGGACATCCCAAAGTGGTGCATTCCAGCTCCTGAAGCCTCTGGCCCGGCCGAGGAAAGCCTCCGTCCCGCAAACCGGGGAGACGGCCTTCATTGGGCTTTGCCTGGGCGAGACTGGAAAACTCTCGAGAGTGCTCAATCAAGTGATGTGCCCCTCTATGCATCCTGGGTTGACACCAGGCGCTCCCGGGCAGATGTCAGTGCAGGACATTTTGACCATTCGAAGGTCCTTGAGTCTTTTCGGCACGTCACGGCAATTCGCGGTGATCAGACCTTGGGAAAGCTCCTGCACAACGCAGTGCAGCAAAGCATCGGGCTTTTACAGGGACTTTTTCTCAACATACTTCAAGCTCCTGGACTTGCCCCATGTCTGCGTCCTGGATTTTGCAAGTACTGCCCAAGAGGCATGTCGACTGGCATTCTTGGCATCAACTGGCGGCACGCTGCTTTTGGATGCGCTGCGTGGGCACTTTTCCCAGGAAGTGGAGGAAGCCACAGGGGTGTGCCGGACAGAAATGGCCAAGTCATCGGGCTTTGTCGACTGCATCGTAGGCAACACAAAGGCAGCAGGCCACGCCTTGAAGTCCCAGGCTCTTGTGGATAAGCTGCAAGGCCAGACCTGCAAGAGGACGGCGCTTGTCCTCGGCTCTGGCCCTGCAAGGGCTGCCATGATTGGAGGCCTGCAAGCTGCGGGCTTTGACGAGATCCGCTTTTGCGATATGGGCTCGAGCTGCGAAGCTTGCCCACATGGCCTGACCATTTTTGTTTTCATGTGCTTCCAGATGCTGTTCATATGTGTTCATATGAATCTTGCTTGTGATCGAAGTCAGCTAGGTCTGCTAAGTCAACTAGCCAGGTAGTCTGCCTCGTTTGCTTTGCCGAGGCCTCAACAAGAGGCGCAGCAACTGGGCACTGGGAGCCCAGCGAAGCCCTCAGCGAGGCCCGCAGCCTCAACATCCCGACTCTCTCTCAAATCTTGACTCTTAACTCGTTTGCCGACGCTGGTACTGTTCGTGGGCTCCTTGTGTTGCCCTTTTCAGGTTCGGAGCGGCAAAGCTTTGGACGTAGTGGTGTCGATCGAGCCTCCCGGCTTTTTCTGGCCCCCCCCCCACCCTGGCCCTGTGCGTTTGCCTGCAACGTGGAGGGACTAAATATGCAGGCCAGAGTGGCCTTCTGCCATGCTCGACGAAATCTGGGCACCGATCCTTCAGTTCCTTGGTTCAAAGGATCGTCAGAGAAAGAATGGTTAGCTGATGGGCAGCAACATCAACACAGCATACCTAGGGCATGTGCTGTAGACTCACATGGAGACCTTCTTGCATGTTGGCTAACTGCGACTATGAGCGCGTCGGTGTGCGTAGCAGTGATACGAACCACCCATGTCAGACTGAGGACATCTAAGCCGAGAGTAATAGATGCATCTCCACTTTTCCCAGGTGGCGCAGCCTGGTCTGC